CTTTTCAAAGAAGGGCACGGAGTGCTCCCCTTAAAGTTTTACAGACCCCTGGGAGGATCCAAAAAATAGAGCCCCCAAATAGTACCCTATACTACTATTGGGTCATTCTCAGGAACCCTTAAGGGGATCCATTTTTTAGATCCTTGCAGGGGTCTGGGTTGTGACAGTTCTTGAGCATGATGTGGGTAGTTCTCTAACATTAGGGACATCTTTTTGTACTGGGTCCCGTATACAAAGTACAGAAGGACCCCCAAAAAAGGGACCCTGATTTAGAGAACTACCCGAGGGATTTAGGGGGCTTCGTGAGGGTTTAGGGTAAACGGTCCGTGGAAAGCAAAGGATCTTTTTGGCTGCGACCAAAAATAGAAAAATCGGGATTATAAAGGGCCATTGTTGTTTAGGGTTTAGGGTTTAGGGTTTAGGGTTTAGGGTTTAGGGTTTAGGGTTTAGGGTTTAGGGTTTAGGGGTTAGGGGTTAGGGGTCAGGGGTTAGGGGTTAGGGGTTAGCGGTTTAGGTTTAGGGTTTAGGGTTCAGGGTTCAGGGTTTAGGGTTTAGGGTACTACTTTCTCAACACCAGAAAGACTCATCGACAATGATGGCCTCACGTGTATATTAAGTTGGGATGTTCTTATTTCTTTCTTTTTGCAAGTGTCCTGACTAGGGATTATGATAAGGGGGTACTAGAATCCATGTTAAGGACTGTCACTAGAAAGGGGAACATCTCAAATAATCGGCTCGATTACACCTGAGACCCCGCGTTGGCAATAGGACGTGGCCAATGCGACTCCAGTTCTTCCATCAACATCTAGAACCCAGGAACAAAAGGGTACCCTTGTTGGTTTATAAGGGGGTTCTAAGGGAACCCCAAACCAAAATAAAGGAAACCAGGGCCTACTTCGGGTCCTAGACATCGATTGAAAGGCGCCTGTCAAGGATGTATCTTACAAGCCGCTGGGGCATCCGTATTGCTGCACAGAGAGCTGGACAAGATAGGGTTTCGGGTTTGGGGTTTAGGGATTAGGGTTTAAGGCGACGGTTCGTCTAGGAGAGCCCAGGTGCGGATGCTGCATCAGCTGCCTCGCGGACGGGCGCTCCTTGATTGCGAAGTTCTAAGGGTCGGGATGTACCACAGCTTAGTAGTTGGGTTTAGGGTTTAGGGTTTAGGGTTCAGGGTTTAGGGTTTAGGGTTTGGGGTTTAGGGTTTAGGGTTTAGGGATTAGGGTTTAGGGTTTAGGGCTGCAAGTTTTGGGGCCTCAATAATTAGATTTTTTTTTTGTTGGGGGGGGGGGGGGGGTATTCTAATATATTTGTATAAGGACCATAGGGGGATGCTACTAGAAATTGATCCGACCCCTGTGTTCGGGTTTCTGGTGCAGATTAGGTTTGACCAAGCCAGCCCTGAAACTCCACAATTCTACAAAACCTCTTGGCAACAAAAAATACCCAGCAACTGTACTTCAGGGTTTAGGCGGGTTTAGGGTTTACGATTTAGGGCTAAAGCCTAAACCCCTGGTGCTGGTGTAGCGTGCATTCTCTGGGGTTTAGGGTAGGGGGGGGGGGGGAGAAGTGCTTGGAGGCTCACGGGTAGTTAGGAGTAGGGTTATAAGTATGGTAACTGCGTTCAACCCGATTCCGGGTACTTTAACAACCCTACTTACAACTACCCGTGGAGGTTCTTGGGGGTCGCTTGGTCTCTGGGATTGCTCCACACAAGGAGCCACGAAAGCCTAAACTCATGTAGGGACAATAAATAATCTGATCTATACTTGAAGGTTCATGGTACTTACTAACCAATTATAACTGTACTTATAACCCCACTTATAATACCCCTAAAGGGCCTTATAGGGGTTATCCCAATTACAAGTAGGGTTATAAGTTATAAGCCCAGATATAAGTGGTTAGTAGGTACCATGAACCTTCAAGTATGGGCCTCTTTAGGGTAGGAGGATAGCCAAGGGGAAGGGACAGTCTGCACCCAGACACAGCCCCACGGCTGAAAAAACCCAAGCCCTAAACCCTAAGCCCTAAGCCCTAAGCCCTAAGCCCTAAACCCTAAACCCTAAACCCTAAACCCTAAACCCTAAAAATCCAGACAGACCCCCCAACCCCAAACCCTCCATCTCTCCTTCGGAGAGATCCGCATGCAGCTGGAGACCAGCTCACGGAGCAGCGGGCTCGCCTTCAGTTTGTTTAGGGTTTAGGGTTTAGGGTTTAGGGTTCAGGGTTCAGGGTTCAGGGTTCAGGGTTCAGGGTTCAGGGTAAGTTTAGGGTTTAGGGCCAACCTTAGACTAGCGTGGAGTGCAGGGAGCCGGTATTGCTAACAACTGACATACAGGGTCATTAGAAGGTGCGAGTATTGTGTGGGGGTTATAAAGTCCTATTCCTGGACATAAGCCCTCAACCCCTTGCACCCGAAACCCTTAACCCGAAATCCGAAAACCCTGAACCCTAAACCCCAAACCCCCAACCCCAAACCCCAAACCCTAAACCCTAAACCCTAAACCCTTCGCTGGCCATTGTGGGAGCTTATCCACAACATGATCGACTGTGGGTCTCCCACAACGGCTACAACAGCTTGAGCGACCATCCCCAAAGAAGCCTTAAGTGTAAAGCTTAACCCTTCCACACTTTTGCATGGGGGCGGGGCGGGGCGGGGGGGGGGGGGGGGTTAGGGGCCGATACTAACTTACTAGGCTAGCCATAGGCCTTATTCAGCCTTTTTTGGGATTCTGAAGCCCTTATTTGGGGAATGCGGGGCCCTTACACCCGCTCCTCTGGTTCCTGGTGCTTCTTTGCAGCCCAGCAACCATGCCATAAGAAGAGCACTGTTTGCGATATTGACGACTTTTTCAAAAGGAACCCCAAACCTAAAATGGGCCAAGGAGAACTACTGGGCGACCGAGTATTCCGAAGTTACAAGCATCAATAGAGTCGAACCCTAAACCCGAAACCCTAAACCCTATAACCCAGCTTGCGTGGATGTGCCCAGCGGCGTGATCGGGAACCCTTGGTGGTTCCTCCAGGGATTTAGGGCTGAGGGTTTAGGGTTTAGGGCTTAGGGTTTAGTGCTTAGGGTTTGGGGTTTAGGGAGAAGCCGTTTTGGGTTAGTCCCCTTCTGGACGGAGAATTGGAGTTTTGACCGAAATGATTCGACCCTAAACCCTAAACCCTCAACCCTCAACCCTAAACCCTCAACCGAGAACCCTTGCCAAATTTCCCTTTTGTGGAGCATAGGTTCGCTTGCTTGGGGGGTGGTTTTTGGCTTTTTGGTTTTGGGGGGGTTTTGAAACCGGGTTCTTGTTTTGGGCGAGCCTGGGGGGGGGGGGGGGGTGGGGGGAAGCGGAAACCCTAAACCCTAAACCCTAAACAGTTTTTTTTTTTTTTTGGGGGGGGGGGGGGAGTTTGAGTGGGGCCCGAAGTCGGTGGAGACATTATGAATGTAAAAATACGGTTGAACCCTAAACCCTAAAACCCTAAAACCCTAAAACCCTAAAACCCTAAAACCCTAAAACCCTAAACCCTAAACCCTAAACCCTAAACCCTAAACCCTAAACCCTAAACCCTAAACTTTAGCTGATGTGTGTAGGATGCACAGAGGGCCGGGAAGGGAGGCTTCTCTAGAAACACTGGCTGGGCCCCCGTCCTGTTCAGCTCCTACCTTGTCTCACTATAGGGTTCTTAAGGGAGGGGGGTTCAAGGGGTTTAGGGTTCAGGGTTTAGGGTTTAGGGTTTAGAGTTTAGGGTTTAGGGTTTAGGGGTACCTAGGGACCCTTAGGGAAGCTTAGGGAGCCTTAGGGAGCAGTGGGGAGTATTCGGGAACCTTGGGTTACATACCCCCTCGAGCCACACTCTCTTAAGAACCCTATCGTCTTACTACTTCTTAGTAGGGAAGGGGGGGGTTCAGGTACCTAATCTTCCAGCGTAATAGCCTAAACCCTAAACCCAAAAGCCCAGAATCCAAAACTCTACACCCTTGCCTTGTTAAGGAGTATACACCCCAAACCCCCCAAACCGCGAGGTAGGGGCTTTTTGCCTTACTTCCCGACTAAGAACAAGTAAGTTTCGCGGCCATCCGACAGCTTCTTGGCTTCGTTGACTTTGTCTCAGGGTTAGGGTTTAGGGTTTTGGGGTTTGGGGTTTAGGGCTTTCGTCAGGGAACCGTTTCTAGTAGGGCTTTTTTCTGATTTGGATGGCAGGTGTCATTTCTCGCCTTGAGTGGTTTCTCGCCTTGGAGTGGTTTGTAGGTTCGTGTTTTGAGATAGCATAGTATAGGGGCCTTAATAATTCGAGCAGGGTTTTGGGGGTAGTTATTCTAGTATGCTTATAAAGGAACCATAAGGGAAGACGATTAGTAATTATTCCGACCCTAGATTAGTTTGTTTCTTGTGGCAGACTTCGGTCTGCGGGCGTAGTGCTGCAGAGGATCCCTAAACCCTAAACCCTAAACCCTAAATCCTAAACCACAAGGTCAGCCCTTACCACCCTCAGAGTCTTCCCAAATACAGACTCGTTCCCAAAGAGCCCAATACCCCTTAACCAAGGAGTATTCCTTAAATCATACGAAGGATCCCTATATGGTTTAAGGGATATCGCTTAATCAAGGGGTTTTGGGCTCTCTGAATTCGTCGGGCTAATAGTAAGGATAAATGTGAAGGCCTAAACCCTAAACCCCGATAACATATCTCAAGGACCTACCTAGACAATGCAGCTGAACAACAACGACCCTTCAGCCGATGCGTCCACAAGCCCTGCAAGCCCTTGCGGTTTATTTAGGGTTCAGGGTTTAGGGTTTAGGGTTTAGGGTTTAGGGTTTAGGGTTTTAGGGTTTAGGGTTTTAGGGTTTAGGGTTTTAGGGTTAGGGTTTAGAGTTTTAGGGTTTAGGGTTTTAGGGTTTAGGGTTTTAGGGTTTAGGGTTTAGGGTTCAGGGTTTAGGGTTTAGGGTTGTAGGGTTTTAGGGTTTAGGGTTTTAGGGTTTAGGGTTTCAAGGTTGAGGGGGGCTCCTTGCTAGTTGCCACGTGAATCATGGCCGCTACGTTGGTTTCGAAGTGGCCCCAGGGCGGTCGAGTTGTAAGCATCTCCTCGCAAAAAAACCGAGAGACTTGGAGGGGAGGATTTAGGGTTTAGGGTTTAGGGTTTAGGGTTTAGGGGTTAGGGTTTAGGGCGCTTTGTGGCTTAGGGTTTAGGGTGGTTTCGAGTTTAGGGTTTAGAGCTTGGTCCCCAAACCCTTGACGCACCAAACCTGAAATGATGACCCTGGCGAGATCAATACTTGAGGCAAGCCCCTGAAACAACATTAAAAAAACAAAAACAACCTTCACAAATGCTGTGTGTAAGCTGGTCTCCCTCCAAGCTCTTGGGCTTTCTAGGAACCCGACACAGAATTCTTAGGGTTGCTACGTGGTCCGGGACGGCCCATACTTCAGAAACCTTTGAAGAAGCTCAGGGGCCATATTAAGGGACCAATCAACTTCCCTCCAAAACCCTAAGCCCTAAGCCCTAAGCCCTAAGCCCTAAGCCCTAAGCCCTAAGCCCTAAGCCCCTAAGCCCTAAACCCAAGTGGAGCCTCTGGAAAGCTACAACCATCCTCGCCCCATCGCCTTAGAAGAATGAGCCCTCAACGCAGTGACGACCAAGGCGCGATGAGGACGCAGCCGAAACTCCAGATGTCTGCCTTGCGTCCGTAGGGCTGCTGGTTTATCCTCAGCTGTTCCTTAAGAGTTTTGGGTTAGGGTTTAGGGTCGAGGATTAGGGTTTTGGGCTAGGGTTTATGTTCAATTCGACACAAAGGGGATGCTACTTCTTGAAACTTAGAGTCCAAACACTGCACCCTGAACCTAAACCAGCTAAATAAAACGCGATACTCGGAGCGGCCCATACCCCTGAAACAGAGACATGGGGGTTAACGATATTAAGGGATCCCGAATAGAGTCACCAAATACTAGGATTCCCTTACAACAACGACCCCAATAAGGCACCCCGAATTTCGGAAGTAGACCCTAAACCCTAAACCCTAAACCCTAAACCCTAAACCCTAAACCCTAAACCCTAAACCCTAAACCCTAAACCCTAAACCCTAAACCCTCTTTCTGAGCTCGGGAGAATTGCTTCATGGATGGGCTCTGGCTCTGTCCAGACGATTCTTTCGGTCGAGCATCACTTCCGGTGCCATCCACTGCACAGAGCCTGTCCGGGGCTTTCGGCACGGTTTAGGGTTTAGGGTTTAGGGTTTAGGGTTTAGGGTTTAGGGTTTAGGGTTTAGGGTTTAGGGTTTAGGGTTTAGGGTTTAGGGTTTAGGGTTTAGGGTTTAGGGTTAAGGGTTTAGGGTTTAGGGTTTAGGGTTTAGGGTTAGATCCCCCCCTCCCCTCCCCCAGCTTTAAGGCCCCCAACCCTCAACACCCAAAAACGCCTGAGCCCTAAGCCCAAAACCCCCTAAAGCCTTTAATAGTCTTTGTTTAATGCTTTCCTGGCAGAGAGCCTCTAAACTCCTCAACCCTCAACCCTAAACCCTGAACCCTAAACCCTAAACCCTGCAGCCCTGAAACTCCCACATGGGCCGCTTGTCTTTTGAAACCCACGCGGACCCGTTGAGGGCAGTTCGATTGTTTGTCTTCTCTGAAATCCCTAAACCCGAAACCCGAAACCCCAAACCCAAGCCCTAAACCTTAAACCCCAAACCCCAAACCCTAAACCCCAAACCCTAAACCCCAAACCCTAAACCCCAAATCCTAAACCCCAAACCCTAAACCCCAAATCCTAAACCCTAAACCCCTAGCAAGGCACCTCTCAGGGTGTGCACAGCATTTCCTGATGCACGCTTCGAGCATCCGAAGTCTGCCAACTTCACTATGCCGTCCACGCCTGGCGCGTCGGGATTTGGGGTTAGTAGGGTTAGTAGGGTTTAGTGTTTAGTTGTAGGGCATAGGGTCCCAAGGCTTATCCGTCTGCCTAGACAAGTCAAAAGCCTCAATCCTAAACCCCCAGAACCGTCTAAAACTCCCTAAACCCCGAACCCTAAACCCTAAACCCTCAACCCTCTAAACCCTAAACCCTAAACCCTAAACCCTAAACCCTACAAATCCCTAAAACCTAAACCCCAAACGGCGGAGGTGTTTGTTCTTTTCCTAGGTCTGGCTCTCCTGTTTTCTTTACCCTAAACCCTTAAACCCTAAACCCCAAACAAAAGAATATCAGCACTGACAGTGAGAATCTCGAGATCTCGGAAGGCCAGCTGCGCGAACGGCTGCGCGGACAAAGCACCGCAAAACAATAACATATTAATATGGTGATTTCTCTAAACTGTAGTCCCTGTTTGGGGTCCTTATGATAAGGCAGCCGCTCTTATTTAAGGACCCTAAACCCTAAACCCTAAACCCTAAACCCTAAACCCTAAACCCTAAACCCTAAACCCTTAATTTGGAGAACTGACCATGTAGACAGACATTCAAGCAGCCCAGTGGGCTCTCTGGGACCTTCAACCCTAAACCCTCTACCCTAAACGCTAAGCCCTAAACCCTAAACCCTAAGCCCTAAGCCCTAAACCCTAAACCCTAAACTCCGCCTAGGAGGATATTGGCAGTCTTGATGTCCCGGTGGAGGATGGCCGGCTTCCTCGTGTGCAGGTAGTGGAGGGCATCCAGCACCTGATCTCGGATTTCAGGGTTTAGGGTTTAGGGTTTGGGGTTTAGGGTTAAGGGCTTAGGGTTTGGGGTTTGGGGTTTGGGGTCTAGGGTTTGGGGTTTGGGGTTTAGGGTTTGGGCTGAAGGAGAAACATGGTCTTGAAAGGCTTCAAGTCTAAAGCTCAAGTTCTGGGCGGTTGCTTGAGGGTTTAGAGCTCAGGGTCGTTTCTGCATCATTGTTGGAGTACTATGTTGCAATGATCATTTGGTTCCTGATTGGGGTTAACTATTCATAAGCATCAGAACTGCCCTAAACCCAAAACCCTAAACACTAAACCCTAAACCCTAAACTTCTACTTGGAGGTTCATGGTACATACTAACCACTTATAACTGTACTTATAACCCTACTTACAATACCCCCAAAGGGCCTTACAGGGGTTATCCCAATTATAAGTACAAGTACAGCTATAAGTGGATAGTAAGTACCATGAACCTCCAAGTAAACCCTAAACCTTAAACCCCAAACCCTACAACGACCCAGGCTTAGGGGCTTTTGGGGCTGGATGCTTTCTGGAAAAGCTCCCCAGAAAAGCGTAATACACCGTTAACTACTACTAATTGCTCGAGAACCCCACCCCCCCCCCCTCTTAAACAAAAAAACAAGCATGTACTTACTGGCCCAAAACCCAAGGGAATAAAAGTTGAAACTTTCAGAATGAACTACCTTATCGGAAGCCCAAAAGTTGAACAGTTGGGTTTTGAGCCAGTAAGTATATATACATATATTAAATAGATAGATAGAGAAGTACATAAATATATAAATCTTCCTTCTAAGATCTTGTAACGGTAACATGGGGGATATTTTCTTCTGTCGATTTCTTAAGCAGATGACACGAATGGACCTTCTTTGAAGACAGGAACCCCCCTACGTCCTCTGAAAACAATCCGTAACATGGTCCTCCTAAACCCTAAACCCCAAACCCCTAAACCCCTAAACCCCTGAACCCTAAACCCCTAAACCCTAAACCTTACTTGACTTGGGAATCGACCTCTCTTAAACCTAGTTAGGTCCTGAGGATGCCACAGTATGCTCGCAAACCTCAAGCCCCAAACCCATCAAAACCCTGAAAGTCTGACCCCTTGAGCCCTGATTCTTAGACCCCCTAACCTAAACCCTAAACCCTAAACACTAAACCCCTAAACCCTAAACCCTAAACCCCTAAACCCCAAACCCTGAACCCTAAACCCTAAACCCCAAACCCCAAACCCCAAACCCTAAACCCTAAGCCCGAGATCCCGCCTGGCGCGAGTAGCTGGCCATCTGGGGCTCGTCGAAAGCCCCGTTTTGCGCCAGCAGGTGGTTCCTGAGCTGCGCACCAAGGGTTCACTTGGAGGTTCATGGGACTTAATAAGGTTTAGGGTTTAGGGTTTGGGGGTTTTAGGGTTTTTAGGGGTTTAGGGTTTTAGGGTTTTAGGGTCTATAACCACTTATAACTGGGCTTATAACCCTACTTATAATAGGGCTAACCCCTATAAGGCCCTTTAGGGGTATTATAAGTAGGGTTATAAGTACAGCTATAATTGGTGAGTAAGTACCATGAACCTTCAAGCAGGGTTTAGAGTTCAGGGTTTAGGGTTGGGGTTTAGGGTTCTGCGGTTCCAGGGGGTCACCTGTTACCTACAAATAAACTAAGGCCTTTTGTTTTTGTTGGGGGGGGGTTCAGGAAGAGGGATGTTAACACGACGAAAGCCTCTGGCATCTTGAGGTGGAGGCAAGGCACAGGGAGCCCTATAAATATCCACCGAAATATGCCCTTTAAGGGATTACATAGGGTACCTCCCCCTCTATTTATATATATATATGTATATATATATATACCTTTTAAGGGATTCCAGAGGGTACCTCATTCCCTACTAAGAACCAGGGGGTAAGGTGAAGGCAAGGCACAGGGAGCCCCCGGGCATGTACTCCAGAAATATGTACATGGTCTCCTGGATGCTCTCCGTCCCGAAGAATTCCACGATGTTGGGGTGGCTCACCTTCCTGGAACCCTTTACCCTAAACCCTAAGCCCTACCGAAACCCTAAACCCTAAACCCGAAACCCGAAACCCTAAACCCTAAACCCTAAAGCCTAAACCCCAAACCCTCCCTCGGGCTTTCCCAACTTAAAGATCCCTCCCTTCTTAGGGTAGTTAGATGGCCCCTTTCTACCCCTTATATATCCCTAAAAATCCCCGGTGCACAATGCAAGGGCCCATACCCTTGCAAGAAGGTAAGGGACCATATTAAGGGACCATGTGGCTACCCTAAGATACCTAGGAACCTAAACAACGAAGTCATAGGGCGCCACATTGAAATTCCTGTTCAGGAAAGTAGTAGGACCCCTGAGATTTTGCTAGGTAATCCCAAACTCATCTTATTCCTGTGAACCCCCTGAACCCTAAATCCAAAACCTCAAACCATGAGCCCTAAACCCCTAAACCCCAAACCCCTAACTCCTCGAACTCCCCGAACTCCACCCTAAACCCTAAACCCTAAACCCTAAACCCTGAATCCGCAGGTCCTGTGAAGCGACACCTCGCGGTCCACGCAAAGGGGGGCCCGCTTCTCACCCTCCTCGGTGGTGTCCAGCATCACCTGCAGGGTTTAGGGTTTAGGGTTTAGGGTTTCGGGTAAGCCCAAAGAGCCCAATACCCCCTAGCCCCGTAGTTTGCGCTGTCATGTACATCTCACTGTATTTTACAATTTGACTATACTGTAACCCTAATCCCTAAACTCCCTAAACGGCCTCCTAAGGGCTTCCAGCGTTTAAGGTTCAAGGCTAGGTTTAGGGTACAAAGCGCCAGGGGATGAAGGGTGTAGTTAGGATGTCGGGCTTACAGGTTGAGGGTTTAGGGTTTGGGGTTGGGCTGTTCCCCCGTCACAGGGTTACTATAATCCCTATTCAGGACTGCTAGTATCAGGGGGAAAATCCCAAGTTTGGGGTTTGGTGTTGCAGCTGCATGATGCAGCACTATGTGGAGTATTGAATATTCGGTTGGGCTTTGATATTTTGATGTGCGGGAGGAGGGGCTTAGACCCAAGAAGAGTGCAACATTCCAAGATATGAGCAAACATGAAATTCACCCCAAGGCTTCCAGGAGGGTTTAGGGTTCATGGTTTAGGGTTGAGGGGACTGTATAACTCTGAACCCCGGACCCTGAACTTTCGAGACCTTTGAAACTAGAAACCGCATGTCTTCCCGTCCCCTTGCGCCAGCACATGCCAGCGCCGAACTCGCCCAAAAATAGTCCCACAAGGCCCCCCTCAAAACCCCCCCAAAGCCTAAACCCTGAACCCTAAACCCTAAACCCTAAACCCCGAACCCCAAACCCTAAACCCTAGACTGCCCTAAACCCCAAACCCTAAACCCAAAACTGCCATAAACATCGCAAGCTCCCAAGACGAGGGCAAACGATGCGGCTCCCGGATTGCCCACCACAAGACCCCAATACGCGCCAGAGTCCCCTCCAAAGGTCCCCCAAAACCCATTTAGGGTTCAGGGTTTAGGGTTTAGGGTTTAGGGTTTAGGGTTTAGGGTTTATGGGGGCACCAAACAGATATGTGCGTAAACGGCTTTCTGCAAGCAAATTGTGTTTTGCACTTATTGCCTACCCCGGCTGGTGAAAGATTGCCCAAACCTCCGCACCTCAGCAAACCCCAACAGAACCCAACAGGCACCAACAAGCCCAAAAAGGCCTCCAGAGGCTTCAGTTCAATTCCAAAACGCCCCCAAGATTCTCCCCAAGCAGCCAAGAGAGACCCAAAAAGAACCCAACGGCCCCCGCAACGCAAAAGCCTTCTAAACCCCTGGAATCATTATACCCTCAAAAACCCGAAACCCTAAACCCTAGCCCTAAACCCTAACCCTAAACCCTAAACCCTAAACCCTATACCCTCCCACCTCCTTCACAGCCATCTTTTGGCCGGTGTAGCGATCGGTTGCCATCCAAACGGAACCCATCCTCGGATGCACTGAAACCTAAGACCCCCTTAGGAAGGGTTTAGGGTTTAGGGTTTAGGGTTTAGGGTTTAGGGTTTAGGGTTTAGGGTTTAGGGTTTAGGGTCCGCCGACCCTGGCGGCGTGTTGGATGGGAAAAGGAGGTGAAACCTCCCTCTTTCCCTCCTTACCCCCCCAAAACACGGGGGGGGGGGGGGGGGGGGGGGGGGGGGTGGTGGGGGGTCGGTGCACAATTTTTTCGTGGAGGACCGCGCCACCCGCACAGCGTAAACAGGGTTCAGCACGGGGGGGTAGGGGCGCCCTCAGCAAAATCAGCGTTTCCCTCCCACCCCCCCACCCCACCCCCCCACCCCCCCCCCCCACCCCCCCCCCCCCCCCCCCACCCCCCCACCCCCCCCCCCCCCCCCCCCCCCCCCCCCCCAACCCCCTCCCCCCACCCACCCCCCCCCCCAACCCCCACCCCCCCACCCCCACCCCCACCCCCCTAACCCCCCCCCCCCCCCCTCCCCCCCCCACCCCCACCCACCTGTCTTTGTCTTTTTGGCTTGAGCTTGTCCTGGTGCTACCCCCTACCCCCCCCAAACGATTCACAGAACTCTGCCGGGGATGATCTTCCATGCGAGCGGGTCTCAACTATGCTCCAGCGGGGTCGGCGGCTTGAGCCGGAGGCTCTTAAATTTAGGGTTTAGGGTTTAGGGTTTAGGGTTTAGGGTTTAGGGTTTAGGGTTTAGGGTTTAGGGTTTAGGGTTTAGGGTTTAGGGTTTAGGATTTTGGGTTTACGTTTTAGGGTCTAGGGCCTAAGGGTGTTAGATTTTAAGGGTTTGGGGTTTAGGGTTTAGAGGTGGGCATCCTAGGAAATTCGAGTTGGGATACGAGCTACCTGTTCCCGAATCTACTGAACCCCTGAACGCCCTGCACCCCCCCCCCCCCAACAAAAAAAAAAACTGGATGCAACCCCAAACCCTTCAAACCCAACAAAAAAGAAAGACCTCAACCCCAAACCCAACAAAAAAAAAAAGAAAGACATCTCAACCCCAAACCCTAAACCCATAAATTCCAAGCGTCGCTCCCCGGCCCAGAAGTTGACCGCGGAACCACTCGAACTTCTTGCCCTGGAAAAGAGTGCCTTTTCGGGGAGTCGACGGCTCGGCTTAGGGGGTTTTACTTGGGGGTTCTGGGTAATGATAAGTAGGGGTTGTGTTGTAAGTACCCAAAGTCCGGTTATAAGTTCAGGACAGTTACCATACAAAAAAAGCCCTACTGATATTTTCGATGAATCTCTAAGCAGGGTTGGGGACCCTAAACCCTAAACCCTAAACCCTAAACCCTAAACCCTAAACCCTAAACCCTAAACCCGAAACCCGAAACCCGAAACCCGAAGCCTGTGCCCGCAGCGGAGCTCAGTGTGCGGGAAGTGCTTCCCGCGGTGGATGTCTTGGACAGCCTCAGGACGACCACCGAAACTTGCAGGACTAGTGTTCAGGGCTAGGGCCTTAAAAAAAGGGTTTAGGGTTTAGGGTTCAGGGCTAAGGGTAAATAAAAAGGATTTAGGGTTTAGGGTCTAGATTTAGGTTTGAGGGTTTGGGGCTGCGGGTTTCTGAGGAGAGGCTCCTGGCGTCAAGTTGAAAGAGAGGCGAAGAGAAGTGAATGGACAGGTCTGGTGCTCGCATCACTGGTACCTCATGGACCCTAAACCCTAAACCCTAAACCCTAAACCCTAAACACTGTAGCCCTACTTTGCCCTCAGCTCTAAGGCCTGCGAGGTCCGCGTGGTGCGGGATTTACGGCGTAGGGTTAGCCGGGATCCCGCATTCTTAGGGCAGTTACGTGGTCCCTTAGTACTTGGAGGTTCAGGGTACTTACAATTAGGGTTTAGGGTTTAGGGTTTAGGGTTCAAGGAACCCTAATAGTCCCCTAAGTAGGTTATAAGTAGACTTACAACTGTGGTTAGAAGTACCCATGAACCTCCAAGTATGGGCCCTTAAAGGGGTACCACTGATATCCCCCTTATATACCCTATACAAAATAAGGGCCCATGCATCAGAACCCTTTCAAGGAGGTTACAGTTAGGGATCATACTAAGGGCCCATGGAAACTACAGTCAGACGCTTGCAACACTCAACCTACTAGGACCTAGGAAGTAGTAGTAGCATCCAGGTGCACACCCTAGACCATACTTGGAGGTTCATCGGTAGTTATGACATGGTTGCAAGTATGGTAACTCTACTTAAAATTCTTATAACCCTACGTATAGCTACCCATGAACCAGTATGCCCTAAACCCTAAACCCTAAACCCTAAACCCTAAACCCTAAAAAGCGACAGCAACTCTCACAAGGCATGCAAAGCTCGTTCAGTTGGGAGGCGACTTTCGTTTTCGCCGTCTGGACTTCTGCGCCTCAGTCTGCCGTGGTGTAGCGCGCAATCCTAAACCCCCCTGAACCCTAAACCCTAAACCCGAAACCCCTCAACAGTAGTTCAAAAGAGTCCTCAACATCCAGGAGAAACTCAACACCATCACAAGAAAGGACGCACCCGCCCCGAAAGACTAAACCTTAATTCCCTATACAGTTGCGAGCCCTGGACTGGCTAGACCCAAGAGGAACCCAAGAACAAGCAAAGGGTGCCCTTCTTTGTTTAACGGGACTTAGGGGGGGACTTCAGCCCCAAGAAAAGGGAATAAGGGCCTACTCTGGGTCCCAGTAGCCCTAAACCCTAAACCCTAAACCCTAAACCGTAAACCGTAAACCGTAAACCGTAAACCCTAAACCCTAAACCCTACACCCTAAACCCTAAACCCTAAACCCTAAACCCTAAACCCTAAACCCTACCCCCGCCCCAAACCAGCTGAGGATGCCACGGGGCAGCTCCCCTGTGTGCCCTGGGAGTCCCTCCGGGGCTCAATCGGCGGAAGCCGGAGCCCAGACAAGCCAAAGCTCCATGAGCTGCAGCCTTAGCTTAGGGTTTAGCGTTTAGGGTTTAGGG